GCTTTGAGGTCCTTGTAGTAAAAGCCATTGCCGGGTAGCTCTCAAAGTAACCTTGCTACACCGTAATGCGAAGCATAAGCGCTGATAACCGTTACAATGAGCGCCGACGATACTGAACATTCAGCTGCGACGGATCTGTCACCACAAGGTAGACTAAACGTCACATTGGAGAAAACAGGTAGAGACGAGGTCAATGAACGAACGTTATATATAGGTCTGCTGTTGACCAGGAGCTACCTCTCTTAATCCTCATCTCATCTTGTCTCATTCGACTCAATCTGTCTCGCCAGTACCAGCACCCGCAACCATCGACACTTAGCCATCATGGTCAAATTTACCCTCCTCGCAGCCACCATCGCCGCTGCCATGTCCGGTATGGTCATGGCCGATGACTGCAAGCACGGACTAGCCTACTGCGGCTACAATCTTCTTCGTAAGGGTAAGTTGTGGCCTATTCCGGGGCTCATGGAGACTGATCCTAACATGGAGAGTAGGGAACTACTTCCAAGACATCTCCAACTCCCTGGCAGCCGCTGAACAGCCTCTCGATGATGCTCACATCAATTACTCAGTATTCTACTGCAAGGGCGACGACGACGTACCATTTCAAGGATTCTGCGGTTCGAATAACTGCCAGGATGGTGGTAGTGGCAAGAGTGACTACTGTCTCTAGACGAGGACGATAAGACTGTGGAAAGAAGTCTGTGAAGAGCTGAAACAAGTGGCTGGGTTCTTGTTCTGGGTTCTTGATACGGAGGTTGGTCGGGCCTTACTGTTCTGATATTGTCTCTACTTCTATAGTGGCTTATGCTTCCTTTTCTCATGTGTGAGATAGTCATTCTTTTATTGAATTGGTACGTACCTATATCATCTGCGTCTTTACTGTGACTTCGAGGTTTTTTTGGTGCCTCGTCAGGGTTGGAGTCAAATTGTCATACCAGTGACCGTTTACGTGATAGGGTGAACCTTGCGCAGCTGACTTCTGCCGAATTTGAATTGCTACTATATGATAATCCCTCATGTCAGATTCTCTCCACATCAAGTAAACCAAAAAAATGTCAGCTGGGTGCGACTATGCCGATATGACGCAAAATTTACTCGTCCGCCAAAATAAAGGTAGATAGGATGACTCTTGGTGACAACACGAATGTCTAACGAGCCAAGTATGTTTGTTGATGCTATGCGAGACGCAAGATCTATCACCAGTCCTACAGCGATCTCCAAGAAATGAAATGAGCTCCAGTTTGCGAAAGCGAGACATTTTACTATTTCTGAACACGATGCAGTCTCCATGCCTAGATGTGCCAAGCAAGAGGAATGTCACAGGATGTGCCCAGGTTTCCAGGGCCTGGGTCAAGAACCAATGAAGTCATGAGATTTCGGTAGCTCTGCTAACATTAGCACAAACCATAATTGCCAATACTTGTAGTGCTGAGTGTGGTAGATATTCGTATGTCCAAGATTGGGGACAGACATGATGGGCAAATTGTCCCTGAGATCTATATATGAGTAAAGCATTCCTAGCGGGCGACCTCAATCGCACAGCTTTCTTACTATTCAGGCTGACTTCCACTCTTCTCGTAACACATTCCGCTAAGTACTCGCCATGAAAATGCAGAATCTTTCCACTATTTCACTTCTCCTCGCTGGCATCATCACCGCCGTTGCCGCTATTCCTGACCCCTCCTCATCATTCATGCGTCTACTTTCCCTACTACTGCAATCCTGATAAAGAGCATGCATACTAATCCTGTCTTCAGGTGAATCTCGAAGCGAGATGTTATGTACTGGTCACTGTTGTGCCGGAGCTTGGTGTCTCGAGACCGGCGAGACGGGAGATTGCGTTGATGGTGTGCCATACTGCGATGGAGTGCCTTGTGAGTGGTACGAGGAAATGAAGTAAGCTTTGGCGTTTCAGGGAAAGGGACTGGATGGAAGGTATCATTCACAATTTCGACGAATGTGGACTGGTATCAGACGTAAGTTGTTCGAAAGCGGCGAATAGTCAGTGGGCGCAATTCTCTTGAGTAGGAATGATGCCGAGTAGCTTCAAGTATCTTGATATTTGAGCTTTTTGGCACAAATCGGCAAGGCGGCGCAGTATGTATTTATCTCGTGGTTGCGTGATGGAATTACGCAGTACGTCAATACTTGCACACAGCTTGGGGCGACGATACTATGTAGGGTTCCCAACAAGGGTTCCTACCAAGGGTTCCTATCTAGAATGGACTTAGCTACTAAGTACTCAAGTTGTTTGTTCGAACCGATGCGTCCTTCTCTGATTAAGCATTGCATATATTTTGATACTATCCATAGCTGGATATGACCCTAATGCTATGACCCGCGGCTCTTCAAGCTATCCAACAATGCACCGACTTTCCCATCTGAACCCTTGAATCTCCGTTCAGGCCACCGAAGTTACACGTTGTCTTGTGAGAACCCAGAGGACTGGAATTTCTTAACAAATTGATCGGTGACTTTCTGCCAGAAACCCCTCGCGTCAACATCTAGTCCATCGCCAGCTTTTTCGTCGCCTAGTGCCTATCGGACCATGACATCAGGCCTCCTGAGAACCTGCGACCTAGTGTCTTTCAACCACGTCCACTGCGCCTCCAGCGCATCATGTCCATCAATCCAGGGCTTGAACCAGTCTATTGGCGGGTTGTCGATATTTGGAACAAGGCGCCTTATACCATATGCCCACAGATCTTTGCAGTATTTAATGTCTTTCTCTCACCCTTTTTAGGTATCCCTTTCCGAGTTTTCTGTAGTAAATTCCCTTACTCCTGCCATTCGGGGGGCTTCCATGGCAGCCTCGCCAAGACCTGCGTCCGGACTTCAAAGAAGCACTTTTTATCCAGTTGCCAGTCATGCGGTTGTGTATACTCCTCCATACTAACCTGTTGCCAAAAATGACGCCTGCCTATATTAAAATGTCGTTCGATCCGCCTAGTTCGGAGCTCCAGTAAGTAGAAATACCACTCTAGCAACACCTCTACGAGATTCTGCCTCCCGTTTTTTGGCGACGTAGTAAGAACCACAGCGCAGGTTGTTGATGATCGAACCGTTGATACATTGGTCGTCCCACTTCTCTATGCAGCCCCAGCGATGGCGGTACGTGGACCTCCATTTTGGTCAGATGTTCCCGATCCAGTAGGACGACATCTCTTTCCAGGGTGTGCACTGAGAACAACGGATCATGTAGGTGGTGAGCCGGAAGTTGCGGGAGTCTTCGCGGTAGATTTTGAGGATAGGGGCCCTGTCACAGAGGGGGCTGTACGATGGGAGGTTCGTGAGGAAGTCGGGGAAGTAGCTGTGTAGGACCCTCCCGAAGTGGAGCTGGCGGCTCGCGACTATAGGTAGGAATTGGTGCGTATATTTGCTCCGGCCTGGTAAGTGACCGTGTAAGTGACCGTGTGGTGGTCTGGTCGCGCAAATCGCCGAGCTGATTCCGGCATTCATTACATCGGCGCAGGTGGCGTTTTTGGCCGCAGTGTTCCATCTACAAGGACTGCGCTACCTCGTCGAGGAGGAGGGCTTCCTCCGAAGCCTTCAAATTCTGGAAGCTTGAGAAGGACATCTGCTGGAAGACTTCCATTCCTGCGTCTTGGAAGCTAATGAACCTTTCAAGCAAGTCTTGCGATCGTCGGCTTCGACTCCAGTTCCCCGTGACCGCGATGGCGTATTGGCGTTTGAAGGCTTTCACGTCAGCCGTTCGATTCTCTCTTCTGGATTTTTGTGCTGTTCTGGATAGGGTGCTCCCTGACCGTTCCCAGGATGTATAGGGAAGTGCGGCCGGGGGAACTGGGCACCGGTTTCCTGTAAGCAAGACGCAGCAGATAGTGATCGTCGAACCGCGCGCGAGGAAGCAGTCGAAGACAGCTGGTGCATGTCCATCGCATAACGCCGCTTAACTCGGAATCCCAAGAAGGTATCTACATGTTATTCCTGGGTAGGAAAAGTATGATAGGGCCTCCAAATTCTTCGAGACACTCTGCAGCGAGCAGACGCTCTACGAAATGTTTCCTGGATGGATTCACAACTGCGCGGAACTGAGCGCATGACTGGCTGATGCATATTAGGGCGATAGGGTCTAGCAGCCGGAAGATGGCGACTTGGAGCTCCCTTGGTAGCGAGTCGAGGGTCGGCGCTGACATGATGGCGATGGTTGCATGACCGTTGACACGAATTGCCTCAAGCAAGTAAGGATCGGGGATATTGATGTTGGTCATGACGTCAACCAGCTTCAAGTCGTTGGCTGTTCCCTTCGCGAAGATCAAGTCGAGATCCTTCGTCAATCCGCGGTATGCCTGGATGTTGCAGACTTGATCAAAGGGTACCATCTTCGTCACAATTTCCTCCACGATCGGTGCCGCCTCGTAGAATTTCTTTGGAAGATGAACCGACAGCACTCGTTTCCAATATTCCTGAGAGGAGTCGCATCCGTCCGTATTGCCGCTGACCAGTGCGGTATAGCCAGTCATACGTCTACACAACACCCAAAACGTCAGACTGAGAGATCACGAAGCATCGACGCCAATGAACCAACATACCCAGTCGAGTGGGTTATACAAACTGATAAGTTTCGAACACAATTCGACAGATCATTGGGCTTCATTAAAGTCAATCCATTGGAAACAATAAGGTATAGGCGTGACCCATGTTGGCTTGATAGCAAGACAACCGAATCGGAAAGGCGAGTTGTGCCTAAGCAGAGGTCTGATCTGGTTCTGAAGGCAAAGTAGCTCGGTCTTGCTGCCCACTACAGTCCGCCCTACACCAAGTGACAGGCCATATCTTGAATGGGAGCCCGTACGTTAACGGCGAGGACAGTCATCGTCTTGTGGCGGTGCATGGTTTGGGTCATCGCCGGTGCCCAATCGAGCTTAGCTCCCGATCCTTCGACAGGAACCAAAAGTAGGCCCATAGGCAGGTCTGGGGCGTACAAACCGCAAACTTTTACAAAAATGTAGAATGTATACCTCTGCGAGGCGTCGTATCTCTCGATCGGGGAATTGAACCCCCTGTGACTGGATTAGTATGGATTTGAGATCACGGCAGTTGTGATTTCACTCACGGTCTCCAGCGTATTTACCCGCAGGATAGATGACAAGCTGGCATACTGACCACTATACTAATCGAGATGTAATCGAAATGCGGGACTTGTCAACTCCCTGTGATTGGTTGGAAGATTTTGTCGTTATTTGGCCTCATACCGCATACGAGCTCTGCAGGCCCAGAATTTAACTTTTGATCTCCATATGACAACTTGGTTGGTTGGTGAGTACGATCGATAAGGGGCTAAGTTGGGCGGCAAACCACGGCAGTACGCGACTGGAGAGGGAAGTGGTGGGTCGAACGGAGTGGCTTCGGTACGTCCGGTGAATGTGTTCAAGGTTTGTACATCATATAATGTTTATGACCCTACGGTACAGACTCTGGAAATGGTTCAAGTGCAGTTTGAGTTCGTGTACAGTTTCTGAGCCCGATAGATGACCGGAAATAAATCCCTCGCGACACTGAGCTTGACTTCAACCTTGAACTCCAAACGCCGCCCATGAGAGGTGATGATGACTGGGACATATCCTGTCCTGGCAAATACCAGACACAGACAGTATAAACGCCGACCAGTTACATTAGCTGCGCTCAAGTCGAGAAGCGGCAGCTTGCACGATGCTCTTATCTAGAGCAGGTGTGCTTCCAGATCCCTTGTCATTACCCGCGTAATCACGCAGCGGCGCTACATCCCATCTCCTCATACCGTCATCCATGCCGGGCCACAGATCAGTCGGTATATACTCGGCGACCTCGTGGCGAAAAGTCTCCCGCTGCTTTCGATCAGACTCAATGATCTTGTCAACATTCTCTTTGGCCTTTCTCCATATGCCGAGGACCCTTTCCTCTTGGGCCCTACGTCGACTAACCTCGAGAAGGAGGCGGTCATAAGAACTAGCATAGTTCTCGTAGAATAAGCGCAGCTCTTCCATCTCGGCCATTCTCTCCCTGATCGTCTCTTGTTCCTCAACCCAGCGCTCACGAAACTCGGTTTCGGCCGCAATATAGCTTTGCAGTCTCGTCCCAATATCTTCCAGGACACGGAAGGCGGCAAGTGTTGTAAGATAACCCGCCTTGACCTGGTTCGTCTGCTCGTTCAGATGAGCAAATTCGTCTTGCATATTGTGGAGGCGTCCAGTGATATCCTGAACCACATCAATGACTTCGGAAGCATCCTGTACTACAACTTGCAACATCTGTACCCGGTCTTCGGGTGAGATGGGATCGATATCGGCCATGTGTGATTCTTGCTCTGCAATGACCCCGGATATTGAGACATTGTCGTTAACACCCTGGGACTGTGATGCCTCGGCGGCCTTTCTCCTAGCTAAAGCCACGCCTCCTTCTGTCGTTCGGACGGCGGTAACACAGAGATCGAAGTGCTTTGTCAGAGATGCGAGAAGTTCTGCCATCTCGTGAGAACCTTCCATCATGGATGCTAGCAGATGTATTACAGGCTGGTGCGCGTCGGAGGCGGACGGAGACGGTGGACATGGAGCTGACGATATCGTTTTATTGAGCTTTCGTAAGTCATCATCGAAGCGGAGCAAGTCACCATCGAACGAGGTTTGCGTAGCCTAGAAAGGCGCCCGTGATTAGTCTTATAGCGCCCTGTAGGACTGATATATGTTCAATGTACTGCCAGGTTCGACACACTCACTTGTAAAGCACCAATGTTCTCCTTAAGGATATTCCGCATTGTTTCTACTTGTTCGACGTCTACAAAGTCGAGCAGACTCCTCTTCTCCTCGCCCTGTGGTCTAAACGCACTTTCCACCGTACGCTCCCTTAGGATATTCATCGTTTTCTCCAACCGGCTGTTTGCAGCATCCAAGTGTTTGATGATATGCTTGAACTCACGTTTGCCACTACCATAGGTCGAAGACAAGGACTTCCGAGCTCGAAGCAATAGTCGAATTTGGTCGTTGATGCCACGGCGAAGGAACTGCGACTGAGCTTCCAGAATCACTGATTCCTCATGAGCCTGACGGGCGGCAGTGACAAGCTCATTAGCCCTCAGGACCAGTGTCATTGACGACAGGGAACGTTTCGCATCCAACAAATGCTGGACGAGGGTTTCGACCGGGATTTCGACATCATCGGTGCCATCATGTCGGGAAGATGGTCGTGACTGTTGGGGAGAGGGCGAGGCTGTGGATGTTGGTGACGCCATCTTGATAAGCGACTGGGGAGGCTCTGTTGAAGACCCTGGGGTAGCAAGTAACCGACGATAACGCCGGTGATGCTACATTGTCACGCCCGATGAAATCATCTTAGTCTAGGGTGAACTGTTGATGGGGTGTAGAGTTGTGGTTGAAGCTTGGGAGGTCAAGCTTCAATGTTCATGCAGCCTTGGATCGGCAAGTCACGGCAATAAGCGGCCATGAAATCCCCGATTGGCAGTTCTTATCAGGGGAAAGCTAAAGCTATGAAGAGAGGTGGTTAAAGCCGAGGAATATCCGCCAGTATTGGGTACCGTACAAGGATGTGGTTGGTTGCTAAGTTTGACGCATGCTAAATAGTTCAACTAACTACTCCTTCCTGCTTGTACCTACTTGGGAATACAGATCGAATGTGACTCAAGACCATTGGTCTCGACAGTCTCATTCATCCTCCTTGTTTAGGCTCGACGATACACCAAGTTGGCGAAGAACAAGAAAGAACTCTTCTAAGACACCGCCAAACTGCAGCATTCAGCGCGTGATGCAAGGATCCTTCCCTTCTCTCCTTACTTAGTGGCGTTGCTGGAATATGAACGTATCAACCACTGAAAAGGTCAAACGCAAGCCTCTCCCCTCAAAGAAACGTCCTTCTCCATCTATTGATGTTTCAGATATCCTTGATGATTACTTCAACGATCAGGATGAAGAGGACAATCTGGTTCGGAAGGCCAAAGAGCTGAGCCTAGAAACTCGGCCACCCATGCCTCCGAGACCCAACACCATACCTCTACTTCCCACCTCTGAACCCTCCATTACCCACACAGCTAGAGCTACCACCATCCCGGATGTCCCAAATGCTTCCAAGTCGTTTTGGAAAAATGCTGTTGATGAGACGATCCATTTTGCTGGCGGTCTGGTATCTCACCCGTGCGAAGCAACAACACACTTCAGCATTCTGCGTCACTCATCCGGGCTTATATATTACAAGGGCTCTTCAACTAGTGTCACCATCACTATCTTCGCAGACGCACCACTGCCATTAGATCGCTCGTTCTGGCTTCAACGTAAAGGCTTCTCAGGCAACATGGGCATGAATGCTAGCGCGCTGTTAGGAACCTCGAGTAACTGGGTTGATGTCACTCCAGCCTCTGGGGTACTATCATCCGATATGCCAGATTCGGATGAGCGTGCGTGGCAGCGGGATATGGGCAAGTTCCTTAAGAAAGCGTCAAAAGACAGACACTTGTTCAAGCATGTTGCGCGTGAGACTTGCATCATTCGCATTCCAGCAGTAGCATCCGATGGATATCTCCGTATCGTGATGTGCACTGGCGAGGGCCGTAAGAAGGTCTTGTGTCCCAGTCCGATTTTCCGTATCGCTAGTACATCCAGCGACGTTAGTAGCTTCCGTGGTGCTAGTCTGTCAACGATGCCACTCGAAGCTGGTCTGAAAGTGGCCTCCATAATTGCCACTACTGCGGTCAACAGGTACATCGGACCAGCCAAAGTCTTGGTGGACAACCGGGTTCAGACGTACATCAACAAGTATAAGCCGAACTTCATTACAGGCCCGGGTGAACAAATCGCACACGTCAAGTCTGGCTTGCAGAGCAAATACCAAACATTGGAGCAGAACTACGACGGCACCCGGGACGTACTATATAACCCTCTTCACCTGCCAGACGTGTTTGATTCGCCGCCCGAAGTGGTTGGATCAGATTCCGGACCCGAGCCGCCATTTCCAATAAGATTTAACGGATCAGTCGCGCGCGGCACTGGCCAGAGCCAGGCGCAGTTTGGATTCCCGACAGCTAACTTGTCCGGCGTTGCTTGCGATCTGCTTATTCGACTCAACGGCATCTATATCGGCTGGGCCTGTGTCCAACCTAGGAAAGGTCTTGAAAACGTCTCCAGTGATTGGCATGAAGCAATGATCACAATCGGACCATCGCCTTATACTTCGCCTCGGATTGTGACCAAAAACACAGCATTCGTCCACATCATTCACGACTTTTGCGACGCGACTTTCTTCAATATGAAGCTCAATGTCATTATCATGGCTTATCTTCGGCCGATGCAGAAGCTCGAGGGATCGCGGCCGCATGCGATTGTCCCTGCCGAAGTGACTGAAGGCGCTGATATAGCACTTGCTAGCCTCAGCCGCGAGAACTGGGGACCGCATCTGGCAATCCAGAAGATGGAGACAGAGGCGAACTCGCGCACCGTGAGTGAACGATATGTCGAGGCCAGACTGCAAATCCAGAGATGCGTGGATGGCATACCGATGCACCTAGCTGGAGTTCGGACTGCAGGCGCCGAGATAACAGATAGAGTTCACGGGCGAGGCGGACTCTACATTCGCCGATGAACTAAGTCCATACGAGAGCCTGTCGATCAAGTTGGACATCTTGAGATGCACTTGATCTCAATGAAGTCATCGAACCCACTGACTGCACTCTGGTCGCTTCCAGGCGCGCAGATCATGATACGAGAGCAGCAAGCAGTGTAATCAATCAAGACTATGGTATCAGGTACCTGGGCATGCTCGAAATCAGAGTACCTCTATCGTCTGTCCCCGATGCGGGTTAACACATGAAGAGACTATACAACCCTGAGTGATATGCGGGAGTCAACACGCAGGCATCTAACGATAATTTTTTTAAAAAGTCAAATTTTAAAAGATTTATTATAACTAACGTTAATTAATAATAATAATAATAATAATAATATATATATAATTTATCGATTAACTAATAGTTTTATTAAATAATTAATTAATTTTTATCAAAATCTTTAATATTTTCGAAAATATATATTACGAGAATCTTATTAAAAAGAATTTAATAGTTATTAATTATATTATTCAATTTAATCTCGATATATACCCTTGATTTTAAAAGCTCGTTTAATATATTTGAAATAGTAAT